AAGTTTAAGCGATAAATTATACTCGCGATCACATACATCCATTGCGTACTCGATGTCGAAATCTTGTGCCTAAGTTTATAAAATCAATATTTATCCCGTAAATAAGAGTAATTAATTAAACACTTTGAAGGTTTTTATTTGCGCAAACCGAACACCTTCATTTAACATATGTGACATTCAGTGCATAGTGTATATTTTCGTTGCGCGTTCCAGAAACATAATATAAAATACATAATATATAAGATTAGTAATTAATATGCTTACGATTTTATAAAAAGTCCAGTACATGTTTCAATTATTATAGAAATGTGATATTTCTCGCGAATATGTAAATTGATGCTTAACTAATCCAGTTTTCAATATACCGGTCTCATGAAAAACTAAATTACGTGTACATTCTATTAATCAATTAATCTGTATTAAAACTGTCATGTGACATAATTTTTTCATTGTAATACATTAACAAGTCTAATGAATTGTATAATGGATTATCAAGTTTAATAAATCAAATTGTACAGTGGTATGAAAGTAATAAAACAATATTCGCTTTTGCATTTATTAACTACAAATTCTCTTTAAATTAAAAAATACAGAGCTACCAATTCGATAAGTTTATGCAGTAAATCATTTCATATTCTTTGTTCGTGTATTAATACAAATAAGTCAGTTACTTTTTAGCCTTTTCAGACGCTTCCCTCGTATTAATCCGCTCGGTTCGTATTAATAAGCTCAGAACTTATGAAATGCCTAATTACGGTTTGAATCTCAACCGCGTAAGTCCTGACGTAGAGCAAGTGCCATTCCGTCTCCAGACATGCGTAGCGGCCTTGATACATGAAAGTAAGATCGCGCGTCTCACATTTGGTATAACGGCAAACGTATATATAGCCCGTATACATGTGTGTATATATATATATATATATATATATGCATGTATATTCGATTATAAACCGATAATTTAAAACATCATCGCATATTTCCGTATTTGATATATGAAATAAGAAAACTGTATTCTGTCGTAAAAATATATTTTATTATTGTAATAAAATTTAATAAAAATATTGTTATTGAATGTTAAGTTCATAAACAACCGATTGGCCTCTGTCACAAAGATTTCACGAAATAATTTAAGAGACAATTGATTCTTTTATCCTTAGACTTTGCTTTGCGTAACAATAATTTAACTCACTGCCAAAGGCTAGTAGTGATTCATCGGTCGAGTTACCTAGTTTAATCATTTTCTACACAAAATCAACTACAAATCAAATTTTTGTGATAGAGAAATTTAGCAAAATCTTCCACAGACAAAATTTAAAATGCGTAATCGATATCCAAATTTTTGGATTTTAATGAGATTTTCTTCTATTTTTCAGCTTTCGTTTTTAAATATCATTAATTATTGTTTTGTTATTAATTATTAATTACCTAAAATTTTTTTTAATTACATAATTACTATTACTTTTCCGTCACTATTTCGATAGTGTTTCGTATAATTATTCTAAGAGCATATATATATATATATATATATAATTAGTTATTCAATATGATAAACATATCCACAGATTAATCATCTTATTTCCAAGGATCACTAAGGTCACTTAATCGATATAGGCTATCAATTAATGAGAGAGATATACGCGCAGACATTGTTGACTAGTCTCAACATGAAGAGGATAAATTCTGTAATATTTTTATACAACAAAAGCGATAGATAATATGCAAATATTTTGTTGCGTAATTACACTGAAGAAAAGAGAATAATCCAACTTACGTAAAACGTTAGATTAGAAAACTGTGAAATTCACATTTGTACCTTTCATATAAAATAAATTTTCAAAAATAATGACACTACTTCTTATTATAAACTGACTATGCTTTTTTAAAGACAAGTAAAACATATAAGTTTTTTGCTTTTCCTTCATAAATTTTTTTTCTAAACGATATGGAATCGAAACTAAAACCGTAGTTTTAAATATTATAAATTGTACTGTTTCTATATAAAGAATTTTACTACACAAAAAATTTAATTTATAAAATGAAATAAACATGTTTACGTACTTATCTAAAACTAATCATGCATCTACACAAGCATCAACTGTACAACTTATTTGTGTACGATAACATAAAGTCCACATGTATTTCCCCTGATATCGTAAAGAAACGTTAACGATGCAGAGTGAAAGCAATAATGCGTCCACGGGCTGCATTATCGCGTTATTCGGAACATGATTCACCGACGTTGTGACCAAACGGTTCTTTTGCTCGACTCTTGGAAACTCCCAAGCCTGGGAATCCACACTTCGGAACCGGATTGGCCGCTACGCGCTAAGGAGATCGGTAGAATTCAACTCGGCCACTCGGGAGTCCCCAGCTATTCGTGCCTCCAAGCGACGCGCGACTCGTGACGTCGACCGCACGATGCGTTTACTACCACACCTGAATGACGTCTAAGGAAAATTTCATAAATGCGTCGACAAATCGATAGATCGTGACGGAACGAGCGTCCATCGGTTAAAAATATTATTCACCATTTCCACAATCTTTAAAAAGATTCCAATATCAAAACATACCGAATGGTTACTAACATGGATTACTAATATCAAATATTTCCGCGTACATCAGTCGTTTATATTGTTCTTATATTATCATATTATTCTCGAATCTTCACGGTAAACAATCGTTAGTACTTTAATTAATTAACGTCTGGCGTAATACGTACGTCTTAGACATCTGGACACGTGTTTTTTCGAACACCGATTTAAATAACATATGCGCGGTTTTTCTTCTCATCGATCTTCGATAAGTTTTTTTTTCTAAGAATGCTATCGTATCTGAATGATCTCGTACAATCATTAATCAAGAATAATCGAATTTCCAAAGTCTCTGAATCTCCGTTCAACATCTGTTACACAACGCCGTGCATGCAAATCCAATATTTTTCTATTTCCGTATACGCTCATGTATACATCGTGTCATTATGTATATCATGAGGAGCAGGTTCTTAACGATATTGGCGATCGTGCCGCCGCTGTTAAATATTCATCATAATAATGCTGACACACCTACCGAATGCACCATTGTCGGCGAACGCACGGCAGAGGCCGGACCGTTGGCAGTCATGTCTTTAGAAAGCCGTAAAAAAGCTAACACGTGCATTTTCTCTCGTAAGATCTTTCTCCGAACGATCACTCGATTGCACGCGCGATCATTCGCCTCGTGCGTGCGTGCGTGCGTGCGTACGCACGTAAACGCGTTGACGCACAGAAGTGACGATCGAACGGCTGGATCGGTGTCGAGGATCGAACGTATACGTGATCGCGCCGGCGAACGTCATATTTACGAGGAGTTAGTTCCGACGACGCGGACGCAAAACCGACCGTGATTTAACCTTTAATGCACGGTTTACGCAAACCTAGAGGAAAAGCGTCAAATGCTAAATTACCCACGTATCTTTTTTTAACTATATATAAGGTAAAAATGGCTATTTAATTCATCTAGCCGAGTTTCGTTTGCGATGCAATACTCTATGCAAAGTAAAATTCTATCATTCTCAAAGCAAAATTTAGGAAAAGAAAAAGTCTGAGAAATCTGTGCTTTTAATTTATGCATTCATTTCATATTTAACTATTTTTTTCGACGATAGTATTTTTTCTGACGCTTGAGAAATACCTGTTCAATATTCATCTCTCTACTTGTAAACTCTTTACTACTGCAAATATTTTATTTATATTTATATGCTTTTTACTCCCTTGGATCCTCTACATGCTCCAGATTGTACCAAATTTATTGAAAATAAATTATAGCTTTAACAGATCGCGACATTTCGATGACAATGCTCAACTAAAAATAAAATAAATATGACTATATGCATAAGGTTCTTTCTATTACTGCTTAAAAAATTATATGATAAATTTTCTGTCGATCTATGATGTACACATTTCAAATTTAATATTTCTGATAGTAATCCGTCTGCAAATAAAGAATTCAAAAATTGTTTTTATATAAGTAGATATTACAGAGATATTTCTAATATTAATTATATACATACACAATTATAACTATTTACAAAATCTATATAATAATAATTATATAATAATTTATATCGTTATATTTTTAAATATGCTCTCTTCAGATACGCTAATCGTCGAGATAAATGTCCTATTTTAAACGCAAGTTATAAATACGCCGAATCCAGAAAACGATATCGGTAATTTGATCATTCGCCCCGATTTGCGTGTTCTGCTCAAGTTTGTTTCAATATCGATTTCGAAAGGCACATTTTTTAGAATATATTCGTTATTTGACGTTTTTTTTCGAAGTAGCGAAGAATCAAGGACTATTGCTTTAAACTTTTTTGAAATTTTGTCATTATTATTAATCTTAAAATGCAATTAATCTTAATATCGAGATAATATATTTATATATTTATATTCAATGCTCTTTCTATGCTCTCCATAAGGAGACAAAAGGATCATACATACATTCAATGCTCTTGTAGAAATTCGTAGACAATGCCAATGACATTAGTCTCTGTAAAGCACTTATCAAATGCATTAACAGATTCAACCGAATACTAACAAATTGTGTATATAAAATAAAGAGGATCAATTAATCTGCATGAAGAATAACGAATTACTTGAAACTATGCTAGAGATATTTCGAATAACCTCTTATCATCGTTTGCGTAACACCGGGACATTCCATTATCATGTAGTGAATGAAAGATGCGCAATAATCTCTCACGAGGGTTCAGATACGAGATCTGAAAGTATCAGCACAAATAGACGAGGAATCCCCTCGTGATCTTCGTGGCAGCAGCACCGGCGGCGGCGGCTGTGACGGCAGCGACGGCCGTAACGGCGTCGGCGGTGGTGGTAGCGACGGCTGCTGCTGGTGGACCACCCGAAACGACGATAGGGTGGGGGCACCCCTGACCCCGGCATTAGCAGGCGGTGAAGGGAGGCAACGTTTATATGCGGCGGCAATCCGCCCCGTAGACGCATTCGCTCGTACGCTCCGTCCAAAGCGGACTTAAGTAGTAGAGGCTCGTTTTCGTCGCCGACGTCCTCGTCATTTGTCGTAGTCGAACCGTAGCAGATCGGACGGATCGAGGCCGAAGAGGACGTAGTCGGAGCTACATCGGGATATTAAAGTCGAAAAGCGCGCGTCAACGGGGAGTCCACTCGTGTAAAATTTCTCGCAAGCGGCAGTGAAGAGCTCACGCACATCACCTTCCGCTGCATTGTCCAGTGAGCACTATCAGGCCGAGAAACCGACGATTGAACGACACCTAAGTCGATCGACCGTCGAGCCAAGAAAAACCACCTAAATTAATCGCTATCAGAGAAAGAGGAGTGATAAAGAAGATATGATGGCAGTCGCAGCCGCTCAGAAGAACCGCGAAATGTTCGCTATCAAGAAATCCTACAGTATTGAGGTAAGTCCTATTCTTAAATAATGATAAAAATAATCCAGAAATTGTTAAAAAATATTGCAAAAATCGGGAGAATATTGGAGTCATAAGAAACTTTTAAATAAATTTTTAGATGAATAGAAAATAATTTTTCGCGAAATATTAAATATTACATAAAAACATTTTGATATATAAAATAGGTGCTTTATTTTTGTTTTGAAGATTTATATGTATATTTGTATATTTATAATTATGTTTCTCAATCAAAAAAAATCATTTGATAAATCTGCCACTAAATTTATAAAAAATTTTTATATTTACTATTGTCAAAATGCTTCCATTGTTATATTCATGTATGTACATGTCAAGAGCAACAGGTTCGATCAAAAACCTTGGTAAGCGCGCGAATTCAGTCGTTCGTTTGAATCACCGATATATACGAATGTCGCTGAAGACGATTGAAAATGTCATTTTAGTTTCTCAACGCGTGAATTCTTATATTTCGACAAAACGTAGTTGCAAAATTTGATCTGGTATATGCAACATGTACATTATTTATTAAATTGTATGAAATTATATGCACTTTGCATTCATCGCAGAGACACGAGCTGTCTCACAACTGCCATGACACACGCTCTGGCTTAATTATACGATTTCTGTACATAGCGACTGTTTGCTTTTGTAGTTAGATTCTCGAGATTTTTCTGGCTAACGGTACATTTCGAAATGGGTAAAAAAAATTGCGTCAGAAAATCGCTTAAAGGTGCATGTGTGTCGGTTCCGCTCTTTCTCAATCTTAATAACCGGAGTCCAACGCAAGTGAAATTCTCACGTAGGCCCGGCGAAACGGAGAAGAGTCCTCGCGCAGAGAAAGTAAATGCGCAGTGTTATTATCCTGTTTACGCAATGTTATTGACCTTGCCGCAATATTAATGAATATTTAATTGTCGAGGCCACATTTTGTATGGGTTTTAATTAAAGAATTTTTCATGTGCGTATATCCCATTTCAGTAACCTAAAACCGGTCTGGAGCAAAATCTTGACATTTTCAAGTTATTATTCGCCGAATCTAGCTATTTATCGAAAAATAGTAAAAATGCTTCAAACAATATTTACGTAAAGCATATAAATAGCATGCAAATATTTTAATAAATTAATTAACTAACTTGAAGATGAATGATGAATAAATGAAGATTAAAATCTCGTTTGTTGGCCGTTGCCAAATTTGTTATTTCAACGGAATATTTCTTTTCCTTAAAATCAAAAAACGTCATTATAAGAATGAAGAGATAATGCGTTCAATGCCCGGTTTGTCTCGTATACATAAATTTGCATAAGATCGAGAATCGAGCGAAGCAGCTGATGCAAGAGACCTATGACACTTGGCGAGCGCGAAAAATTCAATCTGCTGAAGTAGCGTGAGTCCAACAAGATTACACGAGGAAGTAGCCGGTCACGAGTCAGCTGTTTTTCGATTATAGGAAGACGCGTGGCGGTTGGGAGAAACCGGTGGTTCTCTCGACGCGAATTTACTTTTCTGCCATCTGAAACTGCCGTCGAAAGACAAATAGCATCTTTCCTTCTTGCCAAACGCGTTACGCAAATTATTTTTTTGCACCAACCCCTTTCTCTCGCGAATATTTGCGCTTCTACTTGATGCATAAAATTGTATTTGCATATGTTCCACGGCGATTAGTATAATAACAAGATAAGAATAAACAATTGTACACGATTTTACGTGAGACTCGTAATTATCGATTGTTTTTAATGCAGTCATTCTCGAGTACGTAATATTAGCTAGAATCGGACGTGTGTAACAATTTTTTAATAATACGTACTGCATCATATATCCGTTTACGTCTACTTTGCAAATTACAGCTCGTCTATTCTTCACGTAACTATATTTTTTTCCCCCAAGATCGCACACTAATGGATTTTAATCGATACTTTTTCGAGGTTGCCGCGTTTTTCCGTCGCGTGTATAACGCACCGTGGATTACGATGGCAAGGCCGATTCCGTTTCTATTCGCGTCCAATAAGTCGTGCGACAACTTATAATCAACACTTTTACGAGGTTATTCGCTTTTTTTTCCCCTCCGTATGTATACCTATATCTATAACGACGATGCGAAATTTCGCAACCGCGTAAGAATAACCGGCAAGGTCTATGTCTCATTTCTCACGCGATATCGTACTTATCTCCTTAACATCCGCGCTGAACATACATCGTAATCGCTTCGATCTTTTCGATCTCCTACAGTGAACCTTTCCCCAAACGATCGAGATTTATTGACGCAAAAATACTACTAGCGCGAATAGCTTACAAATCGCTATAATGTTTGTTCGCGGGTTCGAATGCTAATCGAAGAGACTCGCGGACTCGTAGAGTTTTCTCGGAATATTGCATTCATCATTCATGCATAATTCAACGTGATGCGCGCATCAGGTACCGTTACCAAAGAGTAAGAAATTAATTATTCCCTAACGAGAAAGATATAACATTTTTAACGCTCAATATCTAAAACGAGTTTGGATCTCTTCGTGTTTTCTTTTCAAGACGATACCCGGACTTCCTCTAAGCGATTGTATGATTTGTTATTTGCATCCGTCTGTATAAACACGAGGACACGTCACTTCGCTGTGACCATCTTACGCTTTCTCCGCACATTCTGTGGCCCGGAATCGCTAATGTATAGATAGACGTAAGTCACTAATCAGTGAAATTCAAAACTGCATTAAATGAAAAGCTAACAGGATATTTTATATAAATAAAATTATGGGGAAGCACCAAGATCCGCTTTACCGTTGTTTTAAAGTTCTCAATTGTTAGTTAACATTTCACGGTCTCTAGATACTTATTATTTTATACAAATATTATATATTTGAAAAAAATTTTAAAATTCTTTCTAATAATCTGAATCTCTTTCACTTATATTCTTTCATAGGAAAGCATCCGTAGTATCTGGCGATTTCAATTCCGGCGAGTAGTGGCCTTCTATTTTAAATATAAATCTCGGAAGTAAACGCGCATAGCTATGCACAATTAATATTCGCGATTCTATGCCGATATAATTGCACACGTTCGCTTCGAACAATTATGCACGTGTTAACTTTGATTTTTATCTCTCTGACGATCGTGACGATCATCTGACTCATTCGAACGGAACTCGTGCGTGCGCACACGCCGGATCTAGATACTGGACCAGATCGAATATAGAATCGGTTATGCGCGATCGATAGTTATCGCGCGAGCAACGGCGACGCGGGGTGAAAAGAGAACCGACCTTGAGTAAATTTCCTACCGCGATCGCCAATGCGGATACTATTTTGCGTTTCTGTCACATTCTGGATATATGACTAATTTAAATATTCTAAATAAACTAAATAAAGACATACACGCTATTTAAATGGAAATTAATCAATCAATTTGTACATCCTCAACATTATTTTGTTTACTTTTTCAATCGTAGTAAAACCGGTATATCATCTTTTTTTTCTCGTGAAATTTCTGATCCGATCTGGTCCTGCTCTGGATTCCGATACTAATGATCACGCGCACGATTACAGGTTGTTTTTCTCAAGCCAATCACCTTGCCCTAGAAGCATCCGTTGACGCGGCCACTTGCTTAAACTCCACTTATAGAATAACATTAGAGCGGCTCTAATTTGTAAAACAGAATTACCGCGGGCTTATTTGCGATTTTGCAACGAGGTTCCGATAGCACCCTCTCGGCGTCAAGGCTGCTGCTACTGCTGATCGGCCGTGTTGAGCGGGATTATGTCGTCGCCGTTGCAAAATCAATCTCCGGCCTTGCGCATGATAATTATGAATATGTTATAAATATGAGAGTGAAGTGATTGTATAGAGCGGCTAAAAAAGAGAGAAAGAGAGAGACACCGCGAAAGAGGCCCTGAACGCTGCACCCGTTATTCGCCTTCGGAGGCTCGCTACACACGCACTAGTTGCATTTGCAACTATCCTTCGGCGCATGCGACTCGCGTGCTGTATGCGTGTTCATTTATGTACACGTGTATAGCGCGAGTTCGCTATGCTAATTGGTTTGCTTAAACGCCGGCTATTTCGACCGGGCTGCAACGACCTGTCTCTCTTCCAGGGTGAGAAAGATCATGTTAATGCGAGATCTCAATGTGTGTGCGTGTGTGGCACATTATGTATCTCGGCCGAGCCGAGACAACTGTACGATTGCGGTTTTACGAGCTTCTCGTTCGAATTGGCACTCAAAGACAAATTATTTACCCGGTGGGGCCTCACCGAGGTATGCGCTTTTTCACTCGCTCTCAGTCACCCTTTTTTCACTACAGATCAGGAAACTTGCTGTATTGCTATTTTCTGCATATGCTCTTTCCTTCGCGCGGAGACTTGTAAGAATATTAAATGCAATTTTCGATTGGTTCGAAGAAACAAGCACTCAAAGGAGATCAGGAGTTCTACCGATCGAGAAAATTTTTTGGAACCGAGCTCCAATCATTGTTTGAATAGTAAATTGAATATACTACATCACGCGCGGTAGTATGTCTGATTGCATGATAATTTCTTAGCTTGCTATTAACATTTCGATTTTTACTGCCGTTGAAACATGATCGTAAATATCGAACAGCTATAAATATATGATTTTTAAGATCACTGGGTACATTAAATAAAAATAAATCGCGAGAGCAAGATAATTCGCTCGAATAATTGGGCAGTTGTAGTTAAGTTATGCGAGCGCAATTTTAATGATCAACCTTGGTTATATTATCCACGAAACATTACGCCGCATTAGCATCGTAATTGTTTGACATTCGCTACGTTAGAAACGCATTAGAAACGCTCATTCATATAATAGACAAATAGGATAAATCGAAACTATTGATAGAACGATCAAAATTATATGCACACGGATACCTCTGTATCTGTAATCAATTCAAAGTAAATGTTTCAATTTAATCGACTATTATTTGCAATAATATTAATTTAAGTTCATCTTGCAATATAGTCAAAGTAAAATAAAACAATTTTTTTTAATGGCTTAATTAAGACATGCCACTTGCATTATATCATGTTATGCAGTCTTTCAAGGAAGCTAAAAGAGTTAATTAGATAATGAAAAAAATAAACGCATCGCGAATGAATATTCGGAGCAAAATCGACGCATCGAGAGAAGAAGAGAGAGATCCTGTTCATCTCTACGGATGCGACTCCTCCGTCGTGTAGTGGTAATTACTCGACTTGCTGATTCGAGGTCGTTTCTTTTGTATCTTCGGCCGTACATTCGTGCGATTCCACAAGGTCGGAAACAACATTCCTACGGTACCTGCCGTTTGCTCGATTGGACATTCGCATCGTTTACATTTGCCGAGTTATCGTCGCGCCGAGTTTTCATTCTTTCTCCCTCGAACACTAGTCACCGTCTCGCACATCAGCTGTCTAATCGACCAATATTTACGTATATATTCATCAGTTTCGCGTATACGACAGTCGCAATTCACGCGACTAGCTGACAACTCCGGACAGCTTTGCGGTAAGAATTAATTAATTCGATTTTATTAGTTGGGATGAGATTTGTCATGCGTTTGCCGTTCCTTCGATGTGTTATCACGTTGTGTCGCAATTTCCCGACATAGTCATCAACCATTCCATCGGTAAAGTACTTGGCCCACTTAACGACGCGCGTTAAGGGATTGCTAAACGCTTTCTCTAAACTATGCCAACTAACGACTTTGCTGGAAAATGCAACTGGGTCTCCAACGCGATGCTATACGTACTGTAGCGACGGCCAGGAATTTGAATGATTGATGGCGCATGTTTGTCTATTTTCGCCAAGTGAGAATGCCTATTTTAAGTTTTGTCTCTCGGGACTTTTATTTGATCACCTTTGGGGAAAAAAATTCTTTCTATATCCATATAACTAAAAAAAAAAACACGAGTAAAAATGTTTTATTAAAGTGCAACATAAGTAAAGGGATGTATTAATTAGGGGAGCGACAATAAGTAAAGTAAAATTTATCTTCCTTTAAAAACTAAGCGGTAGTCGAGCTCCTGTCTATCTCTCCGCTGAAGTTAATTCATTTCCGATATTTCAACGACAGCAGGATGGAAGCACGAAAATTAATTTCCGTGTCTTTTGTTCACTATCCGATTTAAGCGACATTCGGTCGAACTGACAGGTTAGATTTCCGTTTCGTCTCACGTCAAAGGCATGACCACAGAAAACGGAACCTGGCTAGTCAAGACGAAAGGACATCCGCCCTTTAAAGTTCTAAGTTATATCTATAATTGCTTGTGCGTCAGCAATAAAATACAATGCAATAGAATAGTATAATATATCAGTACTCAGAATTTGATCATACAAAAATAATGTAGATATTTTCAATATCTTATTTAATTGAATTTATCATTGTTTTCTTATATACGTGTATATATTCATCCTTTTTATTTATATTTTCAGAACGGGTATCCAGCGCGACGACGTTCTCTCGTAGACGATGCCCGTTTTGAGACGCTAGTTGTCAAACAGACGAAGCAAAGCGTACTCGAGGAAGCTCGACAGCGAGCGAATGGTAAGTCTTGTGAATATCTAGCATGATTAATTCTTATTAATATATAATCTCCGTTACCGCAATATATGTTTGATGTATAGAATATTTTTATATTAGATATACGCATGATTTACTATATAAAAGATTATGTTATCGATGTAAACATGTTTGTATTAGAGAAATATATGTACGTGTTTGCCATTAAAAGATTTTTTAAAAATAAAACGTATCTTTCTGTCAATGTAAGTCATATATAAGCGCATAGCAAAGCAATAAACACATTATATGTGCGCGTGCAGATGTTAATGTTGCATGACTTGTTTCTTTGTTATCGAATAGACACGAACGCGGATCAGACAATTACTTGTACTCAGGAACAACAGGGACAGGGAGAGTATTACATCGATGTTTCATCAAGTGATGACGAACAGATGGAGTCATTAGTTTGCGCAGCACAGAAGGAAGGTTTGTACATATAGATGTTGCAAAATTCGTAACGATCTTTGAATAATTGGCGGCGTGACATGCATTTCCCATAAGACTTAATCGCGTTGAGATATATTATCATTAATATGATAATTTTATTTAATATTTTATCTGATCCGCACACAATATTTACAATGTTTATTATAATGTGAAATTGATTGACGTCAAATGCATCTGCCGCCAAGTATTCGAGAATGCATAAATGTTGCATATGGCATGAGCACGAAACTTGTAACTTTCAGAAGCGAAAGCGGAGGCTTCATCAGACAGCGATGGAAAACCGGATGACGATGACGATGATGGTAAGTGCGTCTTCTATCCCCCCCCCC